CCCTCCTCCCTTTCCTCCTCCTCCTCCTCCTCCTCCTCCTCCTCCTCCTCCCCTCCTCCTCTTCCTCTCCTCTTCTCCTCCTCCCCTCCTCCTCCTCCTCCTCCTCCTCCTCCTCCTCTCCTCCTCCTCCTCCTCCTCCTCCTCCTCCTTCTTTTTCTCCTCCTTTTTCTCTTCTTCCTCTTTCTCCTCCTTTTACCTCCTCCTCCTCCTTCTTGTGTTGTAATATTTTGTGTTAAATTGATTATTCATTCTAGACATTTTTCTTACAGAAAAGTAGAACTTCAAATATTACGGCTGCAGAAGATTCTGTCAGCACAAATAACAAGGTACTGTTCTGTTGTCTCTTTCAACCATTGTATTGCATTTGTTTGTTCTCCTTTTCCTTCTCTTTCTTCTCCATCGTCTTTTCCTCTTCCTAGTTCTCCTTCACCTTCTCCTCCTCCTGCTTGTTCTCTCCTCCTCCTCTTTCTCTCCTTCACCTCCTCTTCTCCTCTTTCTCTCTTCTCCTCTTTCTTCTTTTCTCTTTTTCTTCTTCTTCTCTTCCTCCTCCTCCTCCTCCTCCTCCCCTCTTCCTCCTCCTCTCCTCCTCCTCCTCCTCCTCCTCCTCTCTCCTCCTCCTCCTCCTCCTCCTCCTCCTCCTCCTCCTCCTCCTCCTCCTCTTGCACTTCCTCCTCCTCCTCCTCTTCCACTTCCTCCTCCTCCTCCTCTTCCACTCCTCCTCCTCCTCCTCCACTTCCTCCTCCTCCTCCTCCACTTCCTCCTCTTCCTCCTCTTCCTCCACTTCCTCCTCTTCCTCCTTCCTCCTCCTCCTCCTCCACTTCCTCCTCTTCCTCCTCTTCCTCCTCCATAATTTCCTCTTCTTTCTCCATCACATCCTCTTCCTCCTCCATCACTTCCTCCTCCTCCTCCATCACTTCCTCCTCCTCCTCCATCACTTCCTCCTCCTCCTCCTCCTCCATCACTTCCTCCTCTCCTCCTCACTTCCTCCTCCTCCTCCTCCTCCTCCTCCTCCTCTTCCCTCCTCCTCCTCCTCCTCCTCCATCCTTCCTCCTCCTCCCCCTCCACACTTCTTCCTTCTCCTCCTCCATTTCTCTCCTCCTCCTCTTCCTCTTTCTCCTCTTTCTCCTCTTTCTCCTTCTCCCTTCTCCTCTTCCTCCTCCCTCTCCTCCTCTCCTCTCCTCCTCCTCCTCCTCTTTCTCCTCCTTTTTCTCCTCCTCCTCTTTCTTCTCCTCCTCCTCCTCCTCTTTCTCTCCTCCTCCTCCTCTCCTTGTTCTCTTTTTCCTCCTTTTGCTCCTCCTGATTTTACTTCTCTTCCTTTTTCTCCTCCTCCTCCTCCTCCTCCCTCCTCCTCCTCCTCCTCCTCCTCCTCCTCCTCCTCCTCCTCCTCCTCCTCCTCCTCCTCCTCCTCCTCCTCTTCTCTTCCTCCTCCTCCTTTTCCTTCTTGAGTGTGCTTGATAAGATACTGAAAGGCTGAACATATTTCTCTTCTATGAATATGATAGCATGTTGGACATGATTTACATCATATACTTTTAATTACTGTACACATCAGTTTTATAAACATTTTGAAGCTGTCCATATATTGAAAACAAGCTTTATTATTCGAGAAACTGAATGTGTTTTTTTTTTTTTTTTGCAACAGAATAAAACTAGTACGGCACGGTCCACCCCTGTATCCAGGTGTCGGTTTAAGGATTGCCTGTCAACGCAAGGTCATGACAGTGCTACTGAAGAGATTTATGTTACGTAAGTATTAAAGTTTAATTGGGATTTTGAAAAACTAAAGGGGACATTTCTTTGTGTTGATGTAAAAAGGAAATATTGTAACAGGTTGATGTTATTGATTTTCAAGGTTGATTGGTTTGACAAGTTGATGTAACTGTTTCCTCAGAATGAAGGATCAGCTATAGAAAACGATATTGAATTTTTAAAGATTATTTGGGAAAGCTGAAAATCAAATCAGTTTATTTCCAATTTTTAAAGTTAGAATGTGTATTGTGTATAGGAAAGGACATTTTATCTACCTAGTTGTTCACAAAAGTGATTTTTTCCCAAAAAACACAGAGATCCTGAATTTAAAGGTTATTTAGAAGTCACATGTGAAGAGAACTGCATTATCAGCTACCATCCCTGCTGTTGGAAGGCTCATAAAGAGTATCAAGAGGACAGAGTCGGCAAATTGTCAGACAAAGTGAGAAAAGTTCAGATTTAGTAATAGAAATTGTAAACCATATAGAGGTGTGTATATAGTGTAGTGACTACTTCAACTTTATAGAGGTGGTGAAGTGGCCTGGTGACTAGCTTCTTTATATGAATTGGATAATTAAAAATTTCAATTTTAATATTCTGTAATTTTGACTTTTATGAAGGCTAACACATCAGCTTTGTCCACAGGATTTCTTAGGCACAGACTGCATAACTCCAGACTGTACAGGAAAGATTTCTTGTATTCACATCTATGATGAGACTGGAAACTTGAAAATTGAATTAAGTAACAAGAAAGATAAAAAGAATGCTCAAAATTCTGTTAAGCAAAAGAAAAAGAAGTGAGTTTAATTCTTTATGACTGTTCTAATACTGTAATAATGTGTGATAATACTTACTGCATGCTTATATATATTTCAATCCCATGGATTAGTTATGAGGTTAATATTTTTTCAATACAGGGATAAGAAGAAGGAGAAAGCTCAAGCAAACAAAAATGCAGACAAAAAGAAAACTAAACATGAGAGTGTGAGTGAAGATACAGTCAGTACAGAAAAGGTATGTAAATTTATTAGTAACACAAGGTACTGTTAACCCTACTTGTGCATCTGTAGTCTAAAATTTTGTACCCTCTGGACGATTTGAGAATGAAGGTTTCAGAATTAAAGTTAGCATTAACCCATTGGATCTGTATGCTTCTCTGCCATCATGTGACCTAAAATATAGGCATTAGACACTGCTGGCTCTATGGCCTGTAGGCCAGGCACACAAGAACACTTGTGTACAATCACAAGACTCTATGCCTCCCTTTGCAATGTTATTTTCTCTTTAAGCTAAAGCATTTTTAGCTTTTTATGCATTTTGCAATGTCTAATTTGTCATTTGATTTGCTTTATCTAGATGGTAATAGACTGTTCTCCTTGCACAGCCTGCATATCATATCTCTATGTAGCCTATAACTTAACCTAATCGTGAAGGATGTCCCATATATGAGACACCCGAAAAAAATCAACAATGCCGGGCGTCCCGCCAGTTTGACGTTGTATCGGGGTTGCGCTCCGACGCAGCAGCGGGCAGACAGACTCTGGGGAAGCTCTGCCCGCCAGTTTTGTAGCCGCCCGGAATATTTTATTTTTGACTACAAAATGTACCCGTTGTGAATGGGTTAATGCAGTGATAATAACAAGAAGTAACTTTTAGTTTTTTTTTCTGTATTTTTTTGTAATATTCAAATTTCTGTAATACAACCTGCACTGATGGTCATGGTGAGCAGGAAAAGGATCTAATGTAAAGAGTGTGCTCCCTGGAACCAGCACTCTTCCAGCCATGACACACAGACATTACATTCCACACTCGTTGATCAATGGAAATATTGCAAAAGCTACTTCCTAAATTTTTACCAAATAAGTAATCACCCTCCAAGAGGTTTGTACATTCGTAGCTATTTTTTCCTGGCCTTCAGCCGAATTACTCATGATGGCAAGTTCACATCACCCCAGCCTACAGCCAAATTTCCCATGATGGTATGTTCATGTCACTTGCCCCTTCGGCCAAATTTTTTCATGATGTGATGCTCTATTATCTGGATTGTAAGGGTCAAGGTACTCACTTCATATACTACAGAGCATAAGAGTACAAATGTGCACCATGTTTAATAAAAAATTACATCATTTGTTTGAACCTAGTGATTGGAAGTATTACATGTGATATGAGAAAGATGTTTTCTCTATGGTTTATGTTGTTAATTTTCCAATGTACACACTGAAATTATTGTGTCCAGTAGCACTAGATATTTGATATACTTAATGGCCTTTCTCAATGATAGGTTGAGAAATAAGATGAAATGGTTTAGTTTGTATGTATATTACTTTTTTATCGTATTTGCAGACACAAGCCAAAGCAGATAATGAAGCTGAAAAGACTAAAGCTGTAAATAATAATGAAACAAACAGTGATAAAAAAAAGTAAGTAAAGGGAATACCTAATGAATTCATGTTGGAGATGTTCAGAATGTTTTGTAATTTTGGCAATTCAGGAAAGTCAAGTTTTCCTTGGATGAAATAGTCATCAGGAGCAATGTTCACACATATTCTAAATAGCATCCCAAATCCTTGATGAATTTGTATTCTACTGACTAGTTACTCACAATTCTCACATATATATAATTTGCTTCTTTCAAAGGACCCCAGCCAGTGTGCCAAATCTTCCAATAGACCCGGAGAGCCTGGAGAGTTCCCAGGTTATCGTCTTAAAACCCACAACGGAGCGCGAGGAGCCGACGGAAACCAAAAATTCGAAGAAAAATAAAAAAAAGAAAAACAAGAAAAATAAAGCCATCCAGCCTGATCTGCTTGGAGATCCATTAGAGTGTGAACAAAGCAATCAGTGAGTTTTTTTTTTTTGTTGTTGATATTTGGATATGCAGATTTTTTGTTTGATTATATATGAATATAGTGATATATAGTACATGCAGACTGAAAGGGCTGGATTAGGGTCATATCGTACCAGTAAAGCTGATTCGAGTATAATTTTACACCTGGTAGCATTTGTCGAAAATCAGTGACTGCAGAATTTAAGAGGATCAAATATGTAAATATTGATTTATTTTCAGGAATGAATATGTTGCTCGGTTGAAACTTCTAAAACAGCAGAGAGAAGCTCTAGAAAATGATAATGTTCCTTTACTCAAAGTCCCCCTTGCAATACCCACTCGGGAAACACCCTCGGAGCAGGTTCTAGAATTGGTAAGTTGTTGTGACCCCTCATAAAGACATCCTATGGGGTTATTTTTAGAATCTGGCATCATTGTTCAAAAATTATATCAAATAAAGTTTTCTAATTGTCATTATGATCAATGTTGCATAATGTTACTTTACAGTTAGATCCAGACAATCCCTTCTATCTCCCTGAACATCTGAGGGACAACCCTAAGGCTCTAGAATCAGTTTTACAAAGCAAGATGTCTGCTGGCTCTTCAGTGTCAAGCCAAGTATCTGGCATTTGTCCAGAGAGCATCACTGTCCTTCTAGAGTAAGTATATGAAAGGTGTTACCAAATTGTTATGGAAATATCTTCGTTAAGGCAATTTTTTTTCTGAAGTTCCAATGTTTGGCTAATCTACTAATTTGACATTTTGATTATGAGAGGGTATATTGATAGATAAATAAATCTGTAATTTACTGAAAATAATGACCTTGCACAAGTCTGTAAAGGAGCTGGAAGAAAGGCCAACCACACAATGCTACATCTGGGGTGATCACAACCAAATAAAAGAATTGGCTTGGAAGGAACAGCATCTCTTCAGTATAATTTCACAATCTGTATATTTCATTACAGCTTCATGTATGATTGGCTGAAGTCGGAGGGACCCATGTCCATCACAGATGCTCGCATAAGACAATATGTGGAGGAAAACTTCCCCCCTGAAGCTAATACACATGTTGTACAGTGTGGAGGGATCAAACAGTTTCTCTTGCAGTCTATTAATTTTGCCATGATAGATGAAGTAATATGTGTCAGAGACCACGTTGTAAGAGCTCAAGAAATGATCCGGAAATCAGTATTGGAACGGATGAATACGTCACGGTACCTGATAAGGTCAGTTATTGCTCTGTTGGGGGTTGAATATTTATTGTGGATCACTAAATTTTTATTGATTGTGGAAATATTTTGATTTTGATGTGTAATATTGAAAAAACTTGAAACCTGTCTACAGTGATGGTCGCAGAGCCAAGAAATTTACACACCTCTTGGATGACACAAAGAGCAGCTGTTCTTCGTCGTCTTCTGCATCCCATGTGGCAGGCTCAGGTGTCTCTTATGCCTCAACGGGACTTTCGGGTACAACAACTTCCTCAGTGAAGCTTGTCAATGGGGAAATGAACAATAACAGCAAGGACTCCAGGAAGAATGTACCAAGCAGCTTCACCAGTGGCCTTGATGAATTTGATACTTCTGATGTGAGGACTCAAATGTGTTGTTTTATTGAGCCTCTCTTTGATGCATCACTTAATGATATTCTGTCAAGTTAGAAAAGAAATTGTCATGCATATGTATGGTTACCTTTTTTTCGAGTTCATAGAGTACATCCTGTTGAATTATTATGTTTAATGATTTGAATTTTTATTTAAGTGTATATTTAAGTTTTTAGATTTTTTTTTGTTAGTATAAACTTAGAAATATTTTAATTATGATTATACATGATTGATAGTAATTCTATATGAATTTATTGCAGATGCCAGCAGTGCGTCCAAAACTTAATCCCACAGCCCCAGAGTTTGAACCTCGATCAAATGATGAAGAGGAAGAGGACTTCAACAATCAAGTCTGCTCAGAAGGTATGTTGGCCAGGGTTTGTCATTGAGGATGCATCCAAGTAGGATTAAGAATTTGTTTGCTTTATTGTGAAATGTTATTGTCATTTTGTATGATAGGTTCTATCCTTTATTATTTATATGTTTAAATATTGTGATTATTATTTTTGAAGGTACAGATGAAAGGAATTGCAAGTTGTTTTATATCATTTTTTAAGGGTAGAAATGGAGAGGCAAATAGAGAGGCATTTTCTAATATTATGTTTCATTTTTTTTTTTAAAATACTGGTGAGGAAGAGAATGGCATGGGATCTCTTATTGTTACTGATTGTCTTTAATGCAGATGAAGAAGAAAATATCAAGACTTCTAACAAGTGCTTAAGGACTTCCAAACCCTCAGAGTGTGAATCAAATCAGGATCCTGGAATTGCAACACAGGATGGAGATGAACTGTTCCAGTCAGATGATGATGAGGAATACATGGACGATGAGGAGGAAGAACAGGTTGGTTGGGAAGATGTGGGGAGGGTCTTGATGTTCACTTATTTGCCCTGTTGCATAAATGAAGTGTTAACATTGATGTGTTTAGGTAGTCTTTTATTGATAGCCAGTAGATTAGTCCATAGCAGGTATTAATTTTTAAGAATAGATTAATTCCTGGAATGTTTAGTCTTGATCAAGGTGCATTTCTCCCACAATATGCTTAGAATTTAGTTTCAATTTTTTTTTTCTTGTTTTGGTGGTTTGTTTTCAAGACTGGTTTAAGAGACTTATCTTACTTGGAGGTATAGTCCTCAAAGAAATAAGAATGTTTCACCATTTACAAAAAAAGGACCACATTTGATTTTAAGTATTTACTACTAAATTTAAAGAAAAGTAAGAGGTCCTAGATGGCCAAGTGTAAAAAACAACAACTAATAAATGTTTTTTTGTTCACAGTATACTGAGAGCCTTGAGAACCAACTTAAACAGAAGCAAGAGCAGATTCAGACGTTGAATGACCGGCTGTACCAGATGAAGACTCAGATGGGCTTGGAGATCACAAAGCTCAAACAACAGGTGCAAGATATCAAGGAAGAGAAGAGGGTATGGGATTCCCTAACTGTTGTTTACAGTTTTGCATGTTGTTTAATGTGACTGAAAGTTGGATATTGAATATAAATGTATGCTCTTGATTTTAAGATTCTGAGAAATAAGAAGGTTGCTGGATTTTTATATCTGTAGAGCTTATTAATGAAGCCTTCAAATTTTACAGACAATTCAGACAGAAAAAGAGAGTTTATCAGCCCAGCGTGAAAGTGAGGCTAAGAAGCTGCGTTCTGAATTGTCTCGCTTACAAGAGGAGATGAAGGCAACGCAAACACGCACTCAGTCCCTAGAAAACAAGTGCGAGAGATCAAATGACCGTGCCAATGAGTTTGAGGCCAAACTTATGGAGGAACAGTATGTGAAGAAGCATTTGTTTTATTACTAAAGTTTTGTTTTATTCAACTATAATATTGTTTATTATTATGTTTTTTTTTCAGTAGGAAGCTTGTTCAATATAAATAATTTTGTTTTGTCTTATTTAATTTGATTATTTACAGACATGTATTTTTAGTGATGTGAAAATTTGTGTTCAGGGGCTTGGTTATCTTTTAAGAAAAAAAAGAATAGAAAAATAAATAAAATAAAAAAATAAAATAAAAATAGAAGTAAATGATTACATCTTTCAGTATATATATATTTTTGTTGTACCTTGACTGTCCATTAGCAAGTGCAGTCCTACATTCATGACATCATTCACTAAAAATCACCTGGATCTTTGATAATTGATTCCAATAATGTTGCAATGTTATAAATACATGATAACATATTGTGCTGAGAAAGGAATAGATGCAGGGAAGACCTCAAGGAAGAGGGGTGGGGAGGCACGTACCTGATGCCTGCCAGCCCCTGATCCCTGAAGTCTCCCCATCCCCCTTCCCCATCTGCCCCACCTGACAAGAGGTCACGTAACTGGTCAAAGTGGGTCATTCAGTTTGTCAATTACCGTTACGTCATGATGCGCTACCCACCCCTCCTTCTTGAGGTCTTCCCTTCCCCTCTGCCCCATCTGAAGGTGGGAGGGAAGATCTCGGGGAAGAGGGTGAGAAACTGTTTTTACTGCAAATACAGGAAGGAGTGATTTGCAAAGGTAAATTTGTAAAGTTTTAATAACACACAAAAGATAAAAGACCTTTTATATGTACAGTGGTGAGGGAAAAGGAAAGGGGGGGAGAGGAAGGGGAAGGGGAAATGCATCATCATATGAATGCCAAGGATGTAAGTTTGCCATAGGCTTTAGTTGTAGGCCCTGTCCTGAACCTTTCGGCATAGGCTGACACCCAGAAAAGTACAAACTCCTCAGCTGTCAGCATAGGCTGATGATCGGTAAATATGAGTTAATAGTGTTTTGATAACATTATGATAGTCATAATGTTAATAATAATTACAGTATTGAGTCATTATGTCAATAATTAATTACAGTACTGATAGTAATTGTATAAAAGAAGAAAAAAAATTCCCCCAAATCAGGGAGAGGGGAAATCAGGTGAGGTCACTAGCACCCACTTATTGCATTCTCTGAAAACAGTGGACAGTTAGTGATCCTGCAACCAATAGGTTTAGTTACTCAGACAAAGCAACTAAAAGTCAAAACCACACAAACTTCAGAACAGATATTCTTTTTCCATATCCTACAAAAATTGAAGACAGAAGTGAATAGAATGTATAATTTCCGTTGTTTTTCCTTGTGCAGGGAAGTGACAGCACAGCTGCGTGAGGAGATTAGGAACCTCCAGGAGTCCTTAACCAGCAGTTCACGACGAGCACATGAAGCAGAGGTAAAGTACCTTTGCACCAAGAAGGACCTGGTGGAGGCACATCTCACAAGGTAAGAAATGGTGGGAGAGGAGAAGGAAGCTTGTGGCAGATCTTAAAAGATTCTAGGCTTAGTGTTATGGAAATTTTTATAGTTACAGCAAGAAATTTTTAGTTTGGAAGAATGGTTATCAAGAGTAAAAGAGAGGAATCATGTAGAGCAGCAGAGTATAAAAATAAAAGAGGAGACAAAGAGATGACTTGTCCCCATGGACCATGACCCATAATGAGTACAGGCTAACATGCAGAATGCATGCTCCTCGTCCAAATGTCTTTTTGCACTTTTTTCATTCGAACTATGATTATAAGTCTATATCTTTTGAGTTATTCAGTGAAGGAAAATATAAACAGAGGGTCCTCTTTATATGGAATTTATCAATAACCCACCAGGACAATTACCCGCTTGACTGAGGAAGCGAGTCTGATGCGTCTCCTGCACCAGACGGCATCTGATGAAACAAAGCCAGACCGAGCCACTCTCTCCCGATCCATCGTGGCCTGGGATGACAGCATTAAGAGCTTGCGGGACAGGAAACGCATCTTCCTGGTAGGTGGTTCAGAGCTGGATGGATACCAGCTTT